TGGTTTGCTTGGCTCCACAGTCAACACTCTTGGCACCAGCAGCCAGGAAATTAAAAGACGTATTGCAATGGGAAAGTCTGCTATTAGGGACCTCTCCAAAGTACTGAAGAGCAATAATGTCACTCTGGAGACTAAGGTGTGCCTGATACAGGCCATTGTCTTTGCAGTCACTCGCTATGCGCCAGAGAGTTGGACGGTGACTAGGGAGGATAAAAGAATTGATGCCTTTGAGCTGTGGTGTTGGAGTATTGAATATTCCATGGACTGCTAAGAAAAAGAACAGGTTCAACCTGAAGAGGGTGAAATCAGGCTGCTCCTTGGAGGTAAGGTTTCTGAAGCTTCATCTGCTGTGGAGTAGTATAATACTTTATTCAAACACGGCCATTAGAAACTTGATGATCTTGATTTTTCATTTGTAAAATTAAGATGAGATTATTTAAGCAATCTTTTTCTTGTTGTGTGCTGTCTAATTGGAACTGGCACATAGTTGACCTACTAGCAAGTTTTCAGAGACAGTAAATCACATGAGTGAACATTGTCCATCCTTCCCCTGTGGAGAAGCTGGTGGATTCAAATTGCATGTCTTTGGGATTGCAGCACAGTTCCTTAACCAGTTTTATTGTTGTGTACCATAGAGTCCAAGCCAACCCATAGCTGACCCTCTGATGGGTTTTCAGAGACAGTAAATCACACAAGAGATTACCCATCCTTTGGTGTTCTTAGAGGCAGTGGTTTCATTTGAAGGTGAAAACAAAAGAATCAAAAAGGGAGGAAATTGTCATTGAGTCACTTCTGACTGGCAACTCTGTTTCAGGGTAGAATTATGTTCCAGAGAGTTTTCAAGACTGATCTATTTATTATACCTTACCAGGCCTTTCTTCTGGGGCTCCTTTGGGTGTATTTGAACTGCCAGCTCTTCAGTTTATATCCAGGCTCTTAGCAGATTTAGGAACTTCCAAAGTGATGATGCTATGACTAGTAGTCATAGCATAGTCATTAGTAAGTGTTAGTGTTAATTCTGACTTTGGGGATTTTGTTGTTGTTGTTGTTATGTGCCGTTGAGTCATTTGCGACTCATAGTGACCCTATGTACAACAGCCCTAAACTCTGCTGTCATGTGCCAATCACATTGTCTACAACTCCCAATTACCCCAGTCACTGAATCAATCCACCTTCCTGCTCTTCCCTTCCTGCTCTGTCCTTCCACCCTCTGAAGCATGATTTCCCTCTCCATGGACCGATTCCTTGTTACAACATGTCCAAAGTATGTCAGACGAAACCTCAGAATCCTTGCCTCCAAGGAGCAGCTCGGTTTAACCCTCTCCAGGGTGAATCTGTTTATTTTCTTATTAGTCCATGGTACCCTCAATACTCTTCTCCCGCACCACAGCTCAAAGGCATCAATTCTCCTTCTATCCTCCTTAGTCATTGTCCAACTCTCTAATGCATAGCAAGTG